TAATCATTCCTAACCCTAGCAGGGTGCGAAAATAGTCATTGCTTTTTCAATCATGACAGCATTTGTCCATGACCATGCTCTTAACTTATAGTTAAGAATTATGGCACTTTGGCCAGGCCCATTTCAATGCCAGGGTAGCACATAGCTCATAGCTTGCCCTGGGTTCATCCAGTCCCTCATCGGGACCCTGCTTGGGGGTACTAGGAAGTAAGGGCAACCGAGGCTTAAATTGAGAGAATAAATGCCCAGGGGTGATATTATTTGGAGTCGATTAATTCCCAAGTTACAAAAGCATGTCTTTTCAACTGTCTTTTCGTGTCCATATAAAAAAGGGCATTGCTCTGAATTAACTATGCAAAGGACTTAAGGAGAAGATAAAAAATATTTACAAGTCAACAGAACACAAAGCGGTTACAAATAAACACAGAGGAATGGGAGCACTGTGATGGGAGTAACCCAATAAACTTAAGCTCCCTGTGGCAAGGCAGAAAGGACAAACCAATGTTATCCTACACATAAGATATCTCATTAATCTGTGGTATACAGAATAACTGGATGAAGAAATATAATGTAGTAAAGGGGGCAAGAGGTTGCCTAGATCACACTTTACCCCAGAGCTTACAAAGAAGGACACAGAAGTAAAGAAATCAAAGAGGGAAAGGAAGAAGATGATAAAGGGAAGTAATGAAGAAAAAGGGATTGGGGTTTTGGTTATATTGATGATGTGAGAGAGTCGTATAACTATATATCCAAAGCTAATACTCTACAACTCTGAAAACATAAGATCTATGCTGTAGCTACCAAACTTTGTAACTTGCCTGTCAAGGGGGCAAGTGTAGTGAAATGGAGGGGAACAGTGTCAGAACACTGGCTGAGGGAAACTGACACTGGTTGTGGCATTGGTGTTGAAATCTAATATGCCTAAAACTTTACCAAAAACTTTATAAATCACAACACCCTAATAAAGATTGTTGTTTTAAATGGTAAAAACATAGTGCTGGAGCATGGATTAACATGCTTGCCTTACATTTGCCTTACACAGAAGCAAATATGATCCCTTGCAGGACATGTGGTTCTCTGAGCACATCAAGAGTGATCCCTGAGTTTGAGGAAACAGTCGGGATGGGAAATGTGTGCAGAAAGTAGATAAAGGACCAAATATGATAAACTCTAGGTGTCTGTATTGCAAACCATAATGCCCAAAAGTAGAGAGAGAGTATGGGGAATATTGTCTGCCATGAAGGCAGGGGGAGGGTGGGAAAGGGGGGGAGGGAATGGGGGACATTGGTAGTGGGGAATGTGCACTGGTGGAGGGATGGGTGTTTGATCATTCTGTGATTGTAATCCAAACATGAAAGCTTGTAACTATCTCACAGTTCAATAAAATTTTTAAAAAATAAAAATAAAAAAATAAGAGTGATCCCTGAGCACCGAGCCTGGATTAAGCCCTGGACACCACTAGGTGGGCCCAATAAACTAACAAACAAAAATATATATTTTTAAAAAGTTCTAATTAGTGCTTAATTTTGTAAGCACTCTGATTAGTTCTATGATAGCCTCTGCTATTCATAGAACTAATCTGCAATCTGAATCTGTCCTGAAGCAGATTATATGTTGTCTAAAGTAAAAACAAAAGATGTTTTGTTTAATTATGGAAATTGTCTGGCAATTCTAGAGAGATAAAATTAGAGTAATATATATTTCCCAAGGTAAATAATACATATATGTATATCTATATAGACAAATATATATTCAAAGATAATTCATATTTGACCTTTTGCTCATCATAAAAACTTTACTTATCCACCAGCTCAGAGCCTGGCAACATATGAGACACTATATATTCCACAAGTTGGGAATACTTAAAGAGACTTATCTGAAAGTAATATACCTAATCCACTTGAACTAACACTCCCCATTCATTAAATTCAGTAATCACCTTATCCCTCCCAGTAAGTTTGCCTGCACCTAGAGAATTCTTTTAGACACAGCACATTAGGCTACCATAGTCAGTAGCTCAGAGTTAGCACAAAAGAGAAAAATACCTTAGAATTCCTTGTTTTATATCATCTTTGAATTAAGTTACATCAGATGAAATCTAAATATATCAAATAAATATTCAAGAAGATATTAAACTGTTTTCATTTTATTTAATTTTTTTCTGTTTGTTGCTGTTTGGGGGGGAGGGGATGTTCGAGTTTTTTGTTTTGTTTTTTTTTTTGTTTGTTGCTTTCATTTTACATTATGCACTCAACCTAACTGGGAGAATAATATAAAATATACTACTATGAAATAAACTGTTGCAAATACTTTAGGGTTATAGTTAAAAAATGATAGTACATTTCAGAATTTTCCTGGAAAGCCCAAAATGAAGATTTTCTATAGGATTTTAATATTTTGGTTTATTACAATTTTTTGTGTGTGTCATCGTGATTTAGACTATTACAGAGCTATTAATGATTGGGTTTCAGTCATACAATGTTCCAACACCCATCCCTCCACCAGAATACATTTCCCACACATATGTCACCAGTTTCCTGACCACCCCACTTACCACCATCATCCCAGCCTGTCTCTATAGCAGGCACCTTTTTCCTTTCTCTCTCTCACCTTTTGTGCATTATGATTTGCAATAAAGGTATACTAAGATGTCATTGTGTTTGTTTAAGGTGTTCAGTACTTTTATCAGGAAGGTACTGCTGGAGTGGCTTTTTTAAAACTGGGTGGGTGGCTTTGGGGTGTGAACATGACTGCCAGGGCTTCAAGAAGTTCAGGAAAGTGGGTGGGGAAGTAGCTCATCCTGACCCAGAGAAAGGCTGGCGATTTGTCACAAAATCCACATACCTAAACTTTCAGTAGATTACTGTCTTGGTTAGGTCAGTCCTGAAATGGTGGAGTCTAGATGAGGTCATGGCAACAATTTTGGATTGTAGGATCAAGCAGCTGCAGGAACCTCTGTCTTGTCAGGCACTGGGCTAACTTGCCCTCTCTGATGTACCCCAGATTATTCAGCATGCATGGGTCCAAGATCTGTTGCAGCTTTTTGATCTCTTTTGAAATTTATTTATGATTCAATAGAACAAGGACAGTAGAAGACATTACATGGTAGCCTTGGAGTTGGTTCATGGGGGTAACTGTCAGAGCTTCCAGGAGAATATAGGACGGGAGGTAGCCCATCATAACTCTGAGAAAGCCTGGAGATTTCAGTCACAAAACCCGCATACCTCAGTAAGTGAAGTCCATCCCAAGACAGTGGAGTCCAGCTGGGGGCATGGCAGCGATTTTGGATTGTGGGAGCAAGTGGCTACCTGGGGCTGTGTTTGGGTTGACACTGGGCTAACCTGACCCCCTTTGACATACCCTGGTCTATTCAGCCTTGGCAGATTAGAGCTCATGCTGAAAATGGCAGAAAAGGGTACCTTGTGATTCACACCTGATCCAAAGTGTAATACAGAAACAACCAAAAAAATTCCATGAGTAGCACACAGGCAGGAAATGCAAGATCTGTAGTAAACAAACATCACTGGGAGAATTTGGGGGAGGAAATCTCTGAAAATTAAGGAAATCATGCAGCAAGATCCCAGGCCTGTAAAGTTCATTGGCAAAGCAGAGAGACTGAATGAAAGGGAAATTGTGGACTGATAACTTACACATAGTCTTATGAAATCTCCAATTTATTCCTCATAAAAAATTCCCAAAAACAGAATGACCTCTCTTACATGTGGGTTATAAAGAAATATAGTAGAGGAATAACAAGTACCCAAGGCAACAAAAATTGAGAACTTGTTATTCAGTAGGAAGTTTGTCATCAAAGCAGGGGAGTAGGAGATGAATAGATCTGTTGGGAGAAGGGGATATTGGGACATCTGTTTAGGGAAGCAGGCACTCTGGTGGGGGGTGAAGTTCTAGAATGTTTTATGTGTGAAACCCTATCTTTAACAGTAACCACAATACCTAAAATAAAATTAAATTTTTAGAAATCCCAATACTGTTAAGAATTATATGGAATAATGAAACTCACAGAAGAGACAAAGAAACAAGAGGATCCTAGCCAAAATGTCTAGGGTCCTTTGAAAAAAGGAACATTTAGAGATAGAAATATATGAAGGAAGATATATGAGTGAAAAGGAAAGAGTGCTTTGCTTCTACAAAACATAAAACACCAATGACTAATAAACCACAAGTAAGAAAATAGAAGAAAAGCCAAAAAAAAAAAACTCCTCACAACTTTTAGAAGAAACCATACCTGCTGACATCTTGTTTTCAAAATTCCATCTTTCATAACTATGAAGTAATTAATTTCTGTTACTTAATTTACTCAATTTTGGGTTCCTTGTTATGGCAACTCTAGCTAACTAAACTATACTAACAAAGAATAAGTGTAAAGCAAGCCCATATAAAATGTTTAAAACTGTCTGCAAAAACAACCAAATCTCTTACCATTCAGTAAACTATACTATAACATTTGAAGCTCCCTTCAATCATACGTACATACACACACACAAACACACATATGCATACACACACATATGTTCATTATTCAGAATCCCCCAAAATTAGTTGTAAAATAATGCTTATCTTTCTCACGTTCATTACTGTTATCTCTATACTTGTAATCACTAATAGATAAAAAAAATTCAGTTTTTACGTATTCTTACCTAACTCATTCAAAAGTTATTTTCCCAGGGCTGGAGTTATGGTACTGTGAGTAGGGTGCTTGCCTTGCATACCGATAACTGGTTTCGATTCCCAGCACTATATATGGTTACCTGAATCTCACAGAGTGATCGCTGAGTACAAAGTCAGGAGTAATCCTGACTACTACCAGGTGTGGCCCAAAAACAAAACAAGAAACAAACAAAAAAGCAAAAATTGTTTTGACAATGTGTTCCTTTATAGTGAAATATTAATCAGGTTCCTAAATAATCCTGAATGATTCCGTGAACTTAAATTCCAAAGATCTCACCAAAGTTAAAGACAAAGGCCTTTAATATACTCACCACTTTCAAAACAAGCATCAAATATAAGATGTCCTTTTTTGGGCTGTCCACAGAATCCACTTGGAAACACCATATGTTTGCTCACATTCCCTCCGATGGCATCATCATTTCCTGTATCATTGCCTATTAAAAAAAATACTTATGTTAAACAGAAATCAAAATATATCTAGTAAAAAAATTCAATAGGATTATTATCTCCCCACATGACTTAATGCTTATCTAGGCAGTAAAAATTTTATCTACGTGTTGTAGTAGAGTAGAAAAATGACATATTTTGAAAAAGGAAAAATAAGCACTAAAGTCTCATCTCTACCACATAATCATCCTCTGTGATACAAAACAATCAACAATGTAGGTCTTAATTTCTCTCCATAATAAGGTAATAAAAGTAAAACACATCTATTTCGAAATTGTGTACAGAACTGGATGTGAAAAGTTTACTATAAAATCCAAAATATATTCAATAAATTATATAATTATTTATAAATAGTAAAATATTAAATTTGTAATATGTTTGTAGTCAGTTTAACTTGAAAAAAATTCTAGTTACTTACTATTCACTAATAAGAAACATTTGAAAACCAGGGTAAGAGAGATTAGTAGTAAAGTAGTTGCACACAGCTAAACTGAGTTTGGTCCCCCTGAGCACTGCCAAGAGTGATCCCTTTGCACAGAGTCAGGTGTAAGCCCTTAGTATTTTTGTTGTGGCTCAAAATCAAACACCTACACCAAAATAAAAACTTGAAAACCACTGAGTTAAAATTGAAGTTCTACCTACAACAAGAACTTTAATTTTTAGCTTCATTTTCATTTACAATAAAAAAGGCTTATAAGATTGTTAATTCCACCCTACCAAAATATCCCAATAAAAAGAAAACTTATAAATTTTGAAAATCCATCAGTGAACAAGGCAACAATATTCTGATATACAGGGAAAGCCAAGGGTTAATAATAACAACAAACCTAAAAGGATAATAAGCAAGCATTCCACAGCAGCATTCCAGGGCAGTACACAGGAGGTAGAAATTCTAAGTTCTGCTTTAACTTACTTTTTTTGCAGTGAGCAAAAAGAATTAAAGTAGAGTACTTCGTAATTATTAAAGGTCAAGAACAAAAAGCATAGACTTTAGAATTCTTGAGAGTCCTAGGTACAATGGGAACTCACACTGACTAGTTTTATTCTTCAATAGAGGCCTTCATCTAAAGTATAGAAGAAAGTTTAGGGGTCTGTTTCCCAAAGTGGGTTAAACCACACCCTCCCCGCAAGAGGATATGTAATGGAAAGAGGAGATATTACTAAAAAAAGGTCCACAGAAAATCAAAGCATATAAGGCCTAATTAAAATAGAGACCAACAGAAATACTAGGAAAATAAAACAGAACTATTCCTGCTTCCTAAACACTCAGATAGCAATCAATTTATTATCACTATCACTATCACTGGGCTGGAGCGATAGCACATTGGTAGGTCGTTTGCCTTACAAGCGGCCAGCATGGCCGACCTGAGTTCGATTCCTCCGCCCCTCTTGGAGAGCCCAGCAAGCTACCAAGAGTATCTCACCCGCACGACAGAGCCTGGCAAGCTACCCGTGATGTGTTCAATATGCCAAACACAGTAACAACAAAGTCTCCAATGGAGACGTTACTGGGCCCGCTCGAGCAAATCAATGAACAATGGGAGGACAGTGACAGTGACATCACTATCACTATCATCTCGTTGTTCATTGATTTCCTTGAGCGGGTGCCAGTAACGTCTCCATTCATACCTGTCACATGCTAGTGTAGCCATATGGCATATTGGAGGCTCTTTCAGGTTCAGGGGACTGAGGACCATCATTGTTACTGTTTTTGGCATATCGAGTATGCCACAGGTAGCTTGCCAGGCTCTGACATGCGGGAAGGATAGTCTTGGTAACTTGCCAGGCTCTCCGGGAGGGATGGAGGCTTTTGGGGCAACCTCTAATCACCTTTACAGGTGTTACCAGTCAGGCATATATGCAAGCAGGATACTCTTGGTAGCCTGCCGGGTTCTCTGAGAGCGAGAACTAGACAATAAGAGATTGCACAGCCGCATTTGCTTCCAGGAGCTTGATTCTACAGTCCCTGGATCTTTGCCGTTGATGAGGTCACACAGCAGATAGTGGGTGTAACTGTCTAGCTACCGGAAGATGGGGAATCTGGGTGAAGGATGCCCAGTCCTGAACCAAGCAAGCTTGGAGATCTCAGCCCCAGGTCCTGCACACCTGGGTTACTCTGCCGGTTCCTTCATGTGTGAGGCTCGTCCATGCGTGTGGAGAGTGGTCTTAGCATGGCTGTGGCTGGGTTCCGGAGGTCTTCAGCTGCCAATTTATTATATACAATAACAATACATTTCTGAAGTAAGAACAAAAGCATGGAGAGATATTTTCTCTGTAGGAATATGCAAGGGAAAGACATAAGTTTAAGGTAGAACACTGAACAAAAGACCTCTTGGGGTCAGAGTAATAGTACAGTGGGTAGGGCATTTGCCTTGCATTGCAGCAGATCCAAGTTCAATCCCTGGTACAATATATTGTTCCCCGAGCCTACCAGGAATGATCCCTAGCTGAGCCAGGAGTATACTCTTAGCATCATAGGGTGTAGCATCAAAATCAATAAATAAAGAAGAGGCCCTCAAAAATCTAGTTCCTTTTTCTCAGGAATAAACACTAAAATTTGAAATCATTGGCAAAATAAAAATAACCAAATCAACAATGAAACTTAACCATTTTAACTCCTGACTAGTCCTCAAACAAATGACCTAGTAGAAACGGCATATCCATTTCTAGTGAGGAAGAATATTTATATCATTCCCTATTCATCTACAATGAATATCCTGGAAGCAATAAAATGCTGTGGGAATATACAGAAACTCAAGGAAAAAAACCCCTATCATCTAGAGAAAAATCAACAAACAGAAATGATTAAAAAATGATCAAATAGTAGAAATATCAGATGACACATTTAAAAATGGATTAATTTGTTAAAATTGTCAAGTATAAAAGGAAAGAAAATGCATTAACAATAGGAAATCTCAATAAAGATCTGATGCTATAATAATCAGCTAAAACTACTGTTACAAGCTAAAATAAATGCTAATACTAAATGGCACAGTAACAGAGTAACAGACATAAGGAGTCTCTTCAGCCAAAAAAATGTCTATTCATCTGTAGAGCTGACACCAATGACAAAAGTTCACAACTGAATATCAAGATAAATAAACCTAACAGGCCTGGAAAGATATCTCAGTGGCTGAGCAGGAGACCCAGATCCAATATTCGGAACACATGGTGGAAAGAGGAATGAGGAGGGAAGAGAGAAAGAAAGAAAGGGATGGATGGTTGTTTCAATAATCAAAATCTAACTGTAATTCACCAAATCAACAGACTGAGAATCAATTCTATGCAAATGTCTCAGTAGATAAAATAAAAATTTGACAAAATTAAGTACAAAATTTTCTCATTTTATGAAAAGTTAAAGAAAATTCTTCAGCTTGATAGAACCACCTTTATTTTATATATTATATATGTATAGAGTTAAATTAATTTTAATTGTGCAAAATCATAATTTTCTGCCTAAAACAAAACAAATATGCTCACTTTCATCACACCTATCATTATAAATATATTTAAGAGATAATAGTAAATACTCAGGAGATATAAAAAGCATACATACTATCTCTATTCATAGAGAACAATTTTTAGATATAATATTTTAAAGAATTGATCTGATACTATTAAATTAACTAATAAAACTTCACCAAACTTACAGAACAAATGGTTGATATGAGAAGAATCTATTTTATGTGCACATACCAGCAACAAACAATTTGAAATTTAAATTAAAAGAAGTAAATTCACACAAAACCAAAACTGTTTATATTGAGGTATGTCTAACAAAATCTGTGTAAAATCCAAATACTTAAAACTAAAATTACCAAATAAAAAGCTAATGAATGGAAAAGTAACTACATTAATAAAGTAGAAGACAATACTTCTCCATAAACCTATCTTTATATTAAACAAAGCCCAATCAAGTACCTGTAAAGCTAATCCTAAATTTACAGGAAAAATAAACTAAAGCAACCAAACCTATTTTGAGGTAACAATGTAGAATTGAAGAAACAGAAAATATCTAGTTTGTGAAAACAGAATCAGATGCATAAATATCCCTATACCACCTGACTTTCAATAAAGGTGCAAAGACAATACAACGTAGAAAACATGCTGTTAGGCCAACTACAATACCATATGGCAAAAATAATCACATATCACACATAAAAATTAACGTGAGGACTGGAAAGGTAGTACAGAAGGTACTACCTTGCCCAGCATACAGTCAACCTGGTTCGAATTCGCATACAGTCAACCTGGTTCGAATTCCCTGCACCAAATATCGGTCTCTAAACACCATCACAAGTAATCCCGAGAACAGAACCAGGAGTAGGTCCTGAGTATCTTAGTATCTGGCCCCAAGACAGACGTATAAACAAAATAAAAATGCTAAATAGATAAAAGGCTCAAATGTAAAACCTAAAACCGTAAAGCTACTAAATGAAAATATAAGATACCCATTTGAAAAAAGAATGAGGTTCAGGAGACGCTGAGACTATGTCACATCTGCCCACAGTCTGCTTAAGCTCCACACATGGCCACGACCCAGAAACACACAGATGAATCTCAGACCTGAGCAACTTTTGGCAGAGATGGCCCTGGACTTTGCAAAAGACCTTCTCTGCTAGGCTGCTCCAGTCGGGGGTGGATGCAGTCCCTCTGCCTCCCCTCTAAGAGCTCCAGAGGGTGCCATTTTCTAGAAGCCAACAAGAAGCACCAGGTACAAGTTTGTGGTGATGGCAAATTCCAAGTCTCTCAGGACAGGGGAGGAGTCGGCCAGACTTTCCACCCGCATGAGAAGCCGAGATGATGTCATATCTGCCCAACATCTATTTAAGCTCCCACGTGATCCTGATCCAGAGACACACAAATGAATCTTGGACCTCAGCAATGTGGCTGCAGCCATTTCTTTAGACCCTAATTATTAAAGTCTTAGAATTCCTTGAGCTTGCGGCGCTCCTGTGGCCACATGACATTATATTATATCCATAAC